TTCATGCAGTGATTCAGGGAGTAATCAATTGCTCGGGGGATTGTAAATCGAGATTATTCTGTGACAACTCCTGCTCAGTCGAATTTCGACACCTACAGCCTCAGTTCCGTGTAAACGGGCACTGTCAATGCCGTATTGTACGCACTGAAGAGATCGTTTGGCAAAAATGCCAACTCCCCCTCCAGCACGTCCAACACGTTCTCTGTGAAAGAATCTGTGGTTTGGAATGACAATAGATCCGTTCCTCAGATGCGTCTCCTGCACTAGAGCCACATCGATGTTATATTCAGTTAAGAAGTTCTCAAAGTCAAGCTTTTTAGAACGAATGCCATTAGCATTCCAAAAAACTATTGTTGACAACGTTGGTTGTCTAGATATTGGCAGTTTCGGTTAACACTTCAGTATTCACCGTGAACATTTTCTGTAACACCGGGACTTGCACGAACAACTTTTTCATCTGATCCAATGCGGAACAGATGTCTGAAACCCCCTGCGTCTGACGAGAGGGCCCAGGTTGAGAAGGGTGGGCTTTGCAGAACTGCTGGCACCCTTGGATGCAGCCTTAGTAAAGCTAACCCCTTTCCTGAACGCGTCCAGACCCTGCAGGTCTTGTTGGAGGGGTTGGCTTCCTGGCGGAAGACTTTCCCTTTTGCTGTTCCTTCGGGTACGCCGGGCAGCCACGGTAGGTGGCAGTGTGGGCCCCCTTGCAATTGTTACATTTCGGGGGGTCAGTCCTAATCTTTGTGCAGGCACTTGTTAAATGCCTGCCGACGCACTTCACGCAGATGGGAACTGCTAAGCAGTTGCGTTGGCAGTGGCCGAAACGTTGGCATTGGTGGTACTGACCCACCGAAGCTTTTGGGTGTTGAGGTTCAACCTGGACCTTCATGCTCAGAAGGTCTTTAACCTCGAAGATGTGCTTCTGGTCCCTGCTTAATAGAACAAGAACCATTGGCAGGTATTTGTTGAAGCGCTTCATGCGCGTTACTGATGCGAGGTCAAAGCCTCTAGCTTCGAGCTCCTCACGAACGTCGTCCGTCGCCAGGTGTTCTGGCACTCCCCTGAAGACAGCACGGATTTGCCGTTCCTCATGGAGCGAATAAGTGTGGTGAGGAATCTTTTCCTTCACCAAAAGTCTGGACAACTGACGATAATCGTCAGAATATTATTAGTTTCTAGGAAGATAGTAATACTTCAAAAAGTATGTATAAATCACGATGTATGTAGAATTCAGTTTGTTAGTGAACACGCTTGAAAAAGCTACTGTGCAGCGAAACACGTGTTGCGAATTTGTTAATCTGTTCTAGTGAAAATCTCACAATAAAGTGTTTTTCGAAATACATCAACTTTTAAACAGTTTTTGAGGTAAGTAAACAACTGATAAATAGCTGAATAATATGATTGAGTTTTATCATTTTTATAGTATCAAAATGGATGCCGTAGCAGATCCAAGTAATGTGCAAAGAAAGCGGAAGAAGAAAAACAAATTTTCTGTAGAGTGTAATTGAAAATTGTTATAGTATACCACACAGATCACGTGGGTAGAGAGCCTATTTTTTGAATTATTCTACTGTGCTTTGGAGTCGGTTCACCATGTTCAGTACACCCAGATAACAATCGTTTCGATTCTGGTGTGAAATAATGAGGCCATGTTTCATACATTGTCACATATCGAACAGCCTCAGTTGGTCGATTGTGAGCTCGCGCGTTACCCACTTCGAACAAAGCTTTCACGTACCCAAATATGCATGCAAGATATGTCCAACACGTTCTTTTGATATCTTTAGAGCCTTAACTATCTCGATCAATTTCACTTTGTTGCTCCAGTCAAGATGTTCTTTCCCACAAACTAATAATCCGATAGCTGTGAAATTTATACACGGGTTTTTTGCAGGTTAGGGTTAACTGAAAATCATATGGATTTACTAGTAGCAGCGCCATCTGTGTGTTAGCCTCCGAACTTTTCAGCCCCCTAATAAAATGGACACTAACTAGCGCCCGGCATTCTCATAAAACTACGTAGACACCGGATGTCAACTAAGCTCAATCTTGAGCAAGTCACCTTAGGGATGAATGATAGAGGTGACCTATGTGTATCTATCATACATTTCGTTATTGTTGTTCATTTTAATGCAATGAATAAAAACACTTTTGTCTAATTACCACTAGCTAATTTTATTACCCATACCGGTTAAAATTTTGACGTAAGGCTCCGTGAACACGTCTGTTTGGACGAAAAATCTACAATGTATGAACATCTTCAAGAATCAAAACACAAGATAAATAAAGATAACCTCAAAATCCTACACATATGTAATAAAAGGAAAAAAAATAATTTGTTGGAAGCCATGGAAATTAACAAATCAATTAAACACCAGAAATATATACCCCTAAATGAATGAATGAATTAACGTTTATCATTTCTTTTTGTTTTGGTTTACATTTTGTTTATATGTTACAATCTATGGTGCCCTGCTATATGCTTATGCCTCTTCAGGGCAGTGTTAATTGATGGTTTTGGTTACATTTTATTGATTACTTATTATCTTAACTATCTTAACTAAATGCTAATTCTAATTCGGATGTCCGTGTCGTTGCTGTGGTCTTGTTTCGGAGTGAAGTTATGTATTGGGTTGTCCTTGTCCTTTGCAGTTGTCTGGTTTTTTAGCTCTCGGGGGGTGTTGGTAGGTGGTGGTTTCCGCTGGTTTCAGGTTCCTACGGGTCGCTTTTGTCCACTATCTGAAGGCCAGCAGGTAATCCTCCAGGATATCTTGGATTTGCTCCGTCTTGTCTTCCATCGCTCCCAGGAGTCTGGCTGGGGGAAACAGGAGCTTATTCCTTGCTATCCTTCTGAATCCTTCTCGGGTAGTCCATGATGTTGTTAGTGTGTCGATTGCAGAGGTGTTGTTGCTGCTCATCGTTCTAGTGGCGTATCGTCCCTGGAGTTCCTGAAATCTGACGTTTTTGGGGGAAATATCTATTTGGTTATATAGGTTTTGTGAAGGGTAACGCCATGGGAGGTTATATATGTTACGGAGGATTCTTCTCTCAGTGGTAAGGATGCGGTGGGATTTTCTCGGGGGAAGCGTACAGTAGATCATGGCATTGTAGTCCAAGATCGGCCTTATGAACATTTTATATGTGTGTAGAAGTGTCTTACTATCGCATCCCCCGAGCTTGCCTCTCAGAGCTTTTAGGAGATTTGCTCTTTTCCGGACTCTGTCCAGAGTTTCTACAAGATCAGTCTCCCAGCTGAGAGTCCTCGTGAAGGTGACTCCCAGATAGGACACCGAGTCCTGCAGTATGAGGTTTTCTCCTAAAAGTCTAAGGTGCAAGTTGTCGGGATTGACTTTGGGACGTTGTGAGGTGTTTGGATGTCTGAAGAGAATTGTTTGGGTTTTGGTTGGATTGATTTTGATGCGCCACTTCTTGCACCATTGCTCGAAGTAGTCGATCATGGTTTGAGCTTTGTTTTGCAAGCTAATGGTAGTGGGGGCAGAGGTGTATAGGATTGTGTCGTCCGCGTTCTGAAGGATTTTTTGGGTAGTGGGGGAGCCTAAACGAGCAACCCGATTTATATAGGTCCCCACTCTTGAATTTATGAGTTTAACAATCCCTATAATATTTCAAAGTTGGCACCCTGGTTCGTTCAACTATCTTACCTAAAAACCCACGATATAACCGAGTTTTTAAATTTCATATTTCAGTTTTATACTTCATAATGGGGTTAAACCCGAAACCGGTCATTGAATAAAATTAACCAGTGATAATTAGACAAAAGTGTTTTTATTCATTGCATTAAAGTGATTATCACAAAACAAACAAGTCAACAAACACAGATATCTTTTTTGACTGGAAAATGTGGATAGATGAAAACAAATCAATTGGAGCCTTATTCTCAGATTTGCGACGCGCCTTCGAGACAGTCGATAGAAAGAGATTACTTTTAAAACTACAATACTATGGAATAAGCGGCACAGTACTGAAATGGTTCAGAGACTATTTGAGTGATAGAAAACAATTAACAAAGGTCAATAATATTACCTCTTCTGAAATTATTAATGATAATAGAGTGCCACAGGGTAGTACACTTGGGCCCTTAGTCTTCCTTCTGTATATGAATGACCTTGTTTCCTAGAGTGCAAAATTAGTTTGTTTGCAGATGACACCTCAATATACTACTGTTCTTATAACGTTAATGAGCTGGTAGATACTCTAAATAGTGAGCTCTGCAGAGTTAGTCGATGATGTAATCTCAACACTCT